AAAAAAAAACAAGATGGTTTCTCAGTTACCTCTATTGTTAAATCAATGTAATTTTTTGTAGTTGGTAGCGATGGGATTTACGCTAGTAGTATTGGCTCATATTTGGGTCAATTCCATACCGGATGAAAAGAACAGTATGTTATGCCAAGAGTGGAGGTCTTGCTGTTCAACCATTGCGTGCATGTTTTCAGCTCTGCTGCAGGAAGCTTGGTTTCTTGCTGTACACGTACTATTTTATATTGTTATTGGATATATTTTGCCCCCTTAGGCTGGAGGAATATCCAAATAACTGGTTAAAGCTCGATTTGTGAAACTGGGATATTCTCTGTGTGTTGTAGTCTTTGGTGGTATGTGCCATTATAAGTAATCTTGTAACCATTTCTCACCATTTCCACATATTTGTTCTGTCCTTTTATAGATCTTTTTCAAGCGCCTCTTTCATTATACATTCTCCTTTTTCTCCTATATATGCATAGTAATTTTCAAATTTTGAATACTTGTTACTCCCATGGTTTAACGAGTGATTTTGAATACGTAATTTTGACTCTCTTTTTTTCATGTATCCCCGGCAAAATTACTAACCTTGAATTTTCTGCATCAGGAACATGCATAGTTTAGTATTTCACCCCCATCATGATGCATGGAGGATATGTCCATCTTCGATGCCATAAAAGAAGTTGTTCATTTCCATTGAGGGTGTGGAGTAAAAAGAATTGCCAGTCCCACCTGCACCTCCTGTTTCCAAGCGTTCAATAATTGAAGGCATCGATGCATTTATCAGCGAGGCCATGGAAGGATACCATGCTGCAACATGGAGAGCTTGCTTCTGTGCACATGTTTTACTCCAGTTGCCGAGGTTCTCTTTTGAAACTGAAGGAACTAAGCAGGCATTAGCAATTGTTTTTTGTAAAGCTGCATTTTCACGTTCTCTTGACATTCGAAGCAAGCCGGTGGCTTTGAGGAAACCTTTTTTGCTGGTTATTGCATCTCGTTATATATGTTGCCCTGGTTATATAAAAAAGGTTTTGGAGAAGGATGAGGATGAAGGTCTCACTGTGTGGGTGTGTGGAGTCAGGAGTGGTATATATTTTTGCTCATTTGTTCCAGCCTGGTCTTTCATCCGGCTCCGAGATAAAGTTGGCTGGTGAGTTTGACTGCTTTGCTTTAGTCCCAAATGGGCAATATAGATTCCTGTGTGTATCTTTATACACACACACGCATCCTAATTTTGAATGGTGATTTTAGAAATCTCTAATAAAATTTTTTAAGAAACTGTTGCCCTTATATTAATTAAAATACATGTGTCTTTTTCTTTCTATAAAACAAATGGAGGGTGCTTAATATAATTGTGCATGCTTCGAAGTTACAAATTTCTAAACTTTTTATTTCCTTTTTACTTATCAAATTTACCTGAAATTTAGAGGGTGTGTGCTGTTAGAAAGATGTACCCTAAGAACACTATAAAAATAATTTGAATAGTGAAAATGACCAAAATAGTCCTACAAATATTTCAGGGGATTTTGGTGAAATGGTTTTTGATAATTTTTATTATTTCAACTTTTTGGGTCTGTGATAGATAGATGGATACATGCCTCAAATTTCAAATGAAAAAAAAAATTAAAATTAAAATTCACACGTTCCCAATGATCCAATGAGGGAGCTTTGAAATTTGATAGTTTGTATTCATTCATAATTACCCTCAATTCCCTCATTTGATAAAAGGGAAGACATTAAGGTAGTTTTAACTAATATAAGGGCAACCTATTGTCAAAACTTTTGGAGTAATTTCTAAAATCACCAATAGGATGGTTCATTCTAGTATGTATATATAAAGGAAGGTGCTTCAGAAGTGCTTTATCCATGCTGGAAACGAGACATTACAGAGAACCCTGGGTTAAAAATTGTGGAGCTTTACCATTGGATTATCTGGCCTAAAACAGTGGTCTCAGTATAGTATGTATGGAAATCCGTTGAAATTGTAAGTAATGTTTTTAACTTCAATTACCAAAAACAAAATTAAAATTTTGTCTGCAATACAGGGATTTAGTTGTTGGTTGATGGTGTCGGCCATTGTATCCTTTTGACTCATAAAGGTCAAAACTTATATTTTTTTTAAATATTGATCCAGAAGAACCAATAAGAAGAGTAGTTACTTCTGGACAGTTGGTTTAGATGCTTTTATTGAGCAAGTGGTGCATTGCCTTGTGAAGAAACAATTGTGAAAGAGGCACTAGCAAGCCAATGAACAAGCCACTGCCAAGTCTTTGAGAAAATAGGAAATGTTAGCTGCAACTGTATCAGTTCAGATAGGAAAATGTGGATCGTAAAGGATGAAAATTTTATTTTTTGCCGTGGTTTCTAAGGAAATGAATGTAAACCCCTCGAGAGCCTCGAGATTAGCAACTGGTTTAAGCAATAATGTACTTATGTCGTGGTTTAAACATATGCCCATTCTTTAGATATATTTGATTGTGAAGGTTCTGACGTATTTTCTTTATTTCAACTAAAACCTTGACATTTTGGGTGTTCAATTGGGCAATGGTTTTTCCCATCTATTTTGAAGAGTGATGTATATGACTTCTAAACTAAAGCCACTAGGATTGATTTTCTGATACTTATGGGTAACTGCGAAGACTTTCGAACATTTTGTTGTAGTAATCACATTGACAAAGTTGGTGAAAATATTTGTGGGATTGGCATCTAGCTGGACTCTAAAAGCTGCACGCGTACGTGAATTCTCATTCTAGAGGTAATTATTGAACTGGAGAAGATATTGTCTCATTTTTGTCTAAGATGCCCTTTTGTAGGGATTGTACTTTTTGTTCAACTTTTGTTATCTCTTGCATTATTTGTGAAATTAATTTCTGTTTGGTGCTCAATTTTACTGAACTTGTACCTGAATTGAGGTTTGATATTCAAACCAACAATCTTTTCGGGAGAGGTGCAACTATGTAATGGAAGACCCAAGCAAAGTGTTGTAACATTGCTTAGTATTAACCATGAATGTTTGTCATACATGAACCCATCAATTTCTTTAACATTGGGAAATTGTGGTAGTTTCCTCATGAATATTATTTTTACTAGATTTTTCACATAACACAACATAGAAGCTTTTGGACAACTGAGGCATGTGATGAATTTTTATTTTTATTTACAAACTTGTTAAACATCTATGGGGACGAAAAAATTTTAAGATCCTTAACTAATTCTATTTTTTCTTTTCTTTTCTTTTCTTTTTTTTATTTATTTTTATTTTTTATTTTTTTTATTGTTCAAGTGTTTGAAAAAAGTATAAACCAATTTAGAAAGATATTTGATGTAAACCTAAGACTCACCATGAACGATTAGGTTTGGTGCATTGGCAAAAAACTGGTGATTATAGAGATGGTAGAGGTCAAGGAGGTAGGACACGAAACCTTGTGAGATCGAAGCGTTTTTTTTTAGCACTAGAGAAGCGCTCGAGGGACTTTGGGATCTGATTTATTAACAAATGGAGAGCCTACGCTTGGATGGTTTTAACTTTTGCATCTTTATGTTTTCTCACCACAATCTTCTTTATATCTGTGCTATTATAGGTTTTCCTCATTGTTTTTGTTTGTTATCTCTTCCATTTTTTTCTATTATAATTGATTTTGCACTATGAAGCACATCATATTTTGTTACGCTTTTATGATTCACCTGATTTGATCCTTTCTTGTCATGTGTTTTGTATATTGGATCTAAAATTTCTTCGGAAGGTCCTGGGAGAAATGCTCAACAATTTATGCTCTAGACTCTTTGACTATAGAACTGAATTTACTATTTACAAGAAAAAGGTTTAGTATGATCCATAAAACTTTCTTCTTTGAGAATGTTTTTTTTCTCTCGATGACCCAATTTTTCCCCTCTAAACCCATTTTCTATCTCTTCTGGATTGGATGCCTTAATTGTGGTTTTCTTTTACTCCACATCTCTCCCCTCTATTTGAGGCTGCTTCCAAACCCTAGATTTATCACCCTAAAGTCATTGGCATAGGACCTTGATAGATTGGTATCGATGGATGCCTTAATTCCACTTTTCTCTATTCTCTTTTTTTTCTTGTTATTTTTACCATTGATCGAGGTGATATTGATGGATAAAATGAAAGTAGATGTTTTTGGTAATGGTAATGGTTTGACCTGGACACATGGTTTGGAGTTACTCTTTTCTTTTTGACCTTGACACATGGTTTGGAGAAACTTATGTACTTCCCCTTATCCAACTGTCCATTCTAAATGGACTGTTGAGATGGCCCTAATCACAATGTCATGTCTCTTCATTGTTTTATTTTTAATTATTTTTTTACAAAATATTTTTACACCAAATTTTGGGTGTCCACAAAAAATATTAAAAAAACATCTTCAATAAAATAAAATAACAAAAATACCCCTAAAAATTTCAGGGTATTTTGGTAATTATTATGTATCAAAAAATTATTTTTAATATTTTTTTAGGTGTGCCCCATTGGGAAGGTGACATGCACCAAATTCATAGTCCTACAATTTATATAAAAAAATTAAAAATAAAGTACTGTGAAGCATCGGATCTATATCAAACGGTGAGTGGCTCACTTGATCTAAATTGGATGGTTGGATGGAGGGGGAAGCATATATTTTCTATGTTGTAGGGGAAGTATAGAAACCATTCCATTAGATAAATGGGTAGTGGATGCTAATCATGAAGGGGAAGTTCTATAGAACAGTTGTGAAACCAGCTTTGCTTTGTGGGACGAAATGCTAGGCGGTGAAGAAATAACATACCTATAGGATGAGTGTTGTTGAGATGAGAATGTTGAGATGGACGAGTGGAAAGACAAAAAAGTATAGAATTCGAAATGAGTTCATTTGAGGGAACTTAGGGTGGCTCCAATAGGCAATAAGAGGAGGGCTCGCCATGTGCAACGCAAACCCAATACAACACTGATTAGGAGGTGCAATTTGATTCAAGTGGAAGGCTCTAAAAGGGCAAGGGGAAGGCCCATAATTGTTGGGAGCGGGAGCGAGTCCGGGTGCGAGTGCGGGAGCTTAGGATCGGCACTTGGCTAAAGCTCCCTACCCTTGGAGCACTTGGGAGCACTCAAGGAGAAACCTGGGAGCATTGCTCAAGGAAAAACCTGGGAGCAATCTTGTATATATTAACTACATCTACATGTATATGGGAGCGTAGGGGAAGCACCCCAAATATATATATACATATGAGTGACTTCATGTAACGGTTATATAGTAATATAATGAAATAATCTTCAAAAACCATGTTATGGCCATTTGTTTGATCCAAATTTTAAAATATACACTCTTTT